GTTTCCCAGTTTGTTTTCTATTTTTTTCCTGCTCTGAGTATTTAGTTGTTTTTGAGTTCTTGTCCCCACTTCATGTGCTGCACCCTGCTTCTTGTCCTTCGCCGTCGTAACCTACTTACCTGCTACACGGCAGAGCAAGTGTACTCTGTTTACCTGAGGGCCACTGTTACTCTGCTTACCTGTCTGCCCTCCTGTCGCCTCACCTGCCCATTCTCTGGTTGCTGCGTCCCTCCTTTCATCTCGCCTGCTGCCAGCTCACCTGCCTGTCCCCAGGTACCTGTGTCCCTCCTATTGGCTCACCTGACTGCCCTCTGGTTCCTGTGTCCCTCCTGCTGCCTCACCTCCTGTCGTCTCACCTGCCCATCCTCCTGGTTCCCATTCTCCTGGTTCCTTGCCTTACCGGTCCTCTGTTTCCTGCTGCACCTCCTGCCAGCCCTGAGCCTGCTAGACTTCCTGCCACCACTCAGCATTCATTATTCAATAAACTGCTTTATATAGTTCCTGCTCCCTTATTGTTTGTATCTGCATCTTGGGTCCACACCACACACCCACCATAACACAGGGCTGACTTTCTGTGGGTATCTCTGGCTCTGGAGCTCTATGTTTCTGATGAGCAGTCACCAGCCACATCAACCTGCCCCATGTGTGATTGTTTGTTGCTGTGATTGTTGTGTCTTGTTTCTTTTCTTTTCTTTTCTCTCTCCTCTATCCACTCACCCCAACTAGTTGAGGCAGAAGGTAGCCCATCAAGAGCCAGGGTCTATCAGAGGTTTCTTCCATTAAAGGGAGTTTTTCTTCCCCGCTGTCTCCAAGTGCTTGCTCAAGAGGGATTTGTTGGGTTGTTCCTCAATAATAATAATAAATTGTGGTGACTTTTGTTGTGATTTGGCACTATAAAAATTAAAACTGAATTGAATTAAACCTCCTCGGAAACGATGAAATGAGCCAATGACATACAGACCTAAAGGGGCTAAGTATAACCATGATACAATGTAACTCTAAAGCTCTGTCACCTCAAAGCAAGAAGGTTCCAAGTTCAAGTCCTGGCCAACCTGGGGCCATTCTGTGTTCTTACTGTGCATGTTTGGGTTCTCTCTAGGTACTCCAGCTTACTCCCATAGTCCAAATTGCACATAAGAGTGAGTATGTGTTGTTATTTGTAGCCCTGTGATACACTGGTGACCTGTCCAGGGTGTACCCTGTCTCTCGCTCAATGTCAAATAGAATTGGCACCAACCCCCCCTTAACCCTATACAGGAATAAGCGATAAAGATAGTGGACGGATGGATAACTCGAAAGCTTAATCATTTCTCTCTGTGTGCATAGAAAATGTAAAGGTATGTACGTCACGCCGGGTTGAATGTTGGATTTGGGGCACCATTTTGTGAGGAAGGCATTGTATTTACCTGCATACATACTTGTTTTGCTTGGCTAAAAACTGGTTAATTCATTTAGATCTCACTTTACTGACTGTGGTAATTCAGAAGGTTATCCTTTTTGTGGAAAGGACCTAGACATCTCAACTATGATAAAAGGAAAAATGACTCTGCCCCCTGAGCTCTACTCCTTGTTGTTAAGTCTTGTTTTTTTCAGCGAAGACTCTTAAGGAAGGTTAAACCTTTTTTGTCACATGGAGATCTGGAGAAGGCTATTCATGCATTTATTACTTCACATTTAGATTATTGCAGTGCCTTGTATGTTGGAATACCCCAGACTTTGCTCCAAAAATTACAATTGGGCTTCAGAAATTGGTCCAAAATGCAGCAGCTCGGCTGCTATCCAATGCTCCCAGGTTTGTCCATATCTCCCCGATTCTTCGTGCTCTTCATTGGCTTCCGATCCAATTTAAAATTAAATTTAAGCTCCTATTGTTTGTTTTTAAGGCTATTCAGGGTCTCACCCCATCCTACCTATCTGACCTGCTGTCAGTATCTGTGCCGCGTAGAGCTCTTCACTCCGCTGATCATTTGTGGCTGGCTCCCGCTACAATAAATGGGGTGACTGATCTTTTTCTATCTACAGCCCCAGACTGTGGAATGCTCTTCTGGTAGAATTAAGGGCGCAAAGTGAGCTAGTGGCCTTTAAGTCGGCCTTAAAAACTGACTTTTTTAAGCAGGATTTTGAGACCTAACCTGTTTTACTGTTTAAATTTTAGTCATGGTTAATATTTGTGTTTGCACCTACCTGTATTTTGCTAGTGTTATTGTTTTGTGTGTTTTTACTGTACAGCACTCTGGTGTTCTTGTGAGCTGGACAGCGCTATAGAAATAAAGTTTATTATTATTATTATTATTACTCCTGGCTCTACAAAGGGTGCCTCCCTTTAAAGGTCTTCTGGGCATGTCCATCTGGTAGGAAACACTGGGGCAGATCCAGAACAGGCTGGACAGATTAAATATCTCATCTGTCCTAGAAACATCTCGGAGTCCTGCCAGAGAAGCTGGAACACATTGTCAGGGAGAGAAACATCTGGAGTATCTTACTGAACCTGCTGCTACCGCGACTCAATGCCAGGTAAGGGGTAGTATAAAATAGATGGATGGAATGGATGGTCTACATACACTGCTGCTCTGGCTGTATGACCTGAAAAACTCCCAGACCACATGAAAATAAATTAAAATGACCAATATTCTGTCTAGCTTGTGTTCCTTTGCTATGGACCGACCTAACTTCCCTTCTGTCACTTGTCTAGCTACTCTTTTCAGAGCTTCTAAGGGGGTTTATAGTCTTGGCATAATGGTATATGCTCTGCAATATCAGAAAATAACATTTATTCATTGATTTATCCAATGATGCACGCTCCTGCTGGGAGCTGAAGATTCAGCCCAACTTCAACTGTTTCCCCATTTTCAATGTAGATGTCGCTGATCGCGAAGCAATTCTCATTCACAACTTTACCTCCTTTTATCAGGATCCCACTGCACTGGGCTTCATTCCGGCGATGCACAACTGAAAGAGGGTTTAAAATGTGTAAAAAAAAAAAATAAATAAAGCCCTCTTAAAAGCTCTAAAAAGAGCAGCTAGGCAAGTGACAGAAGGTAAGTCAGGTCAGTCCATAGCAAAGGAACACAAGCTAGAGAGAATACTGGTCATTTTAATTTATTTTCTTGTAGTCTGGGAGTTTTTCAGGTCATACTGCCAGAGCGGAAGTGCATGTAGACCATCCATTCCATTCATCTATTTTCTATGGCTTACCCGGTATCGGGTCACAGTGGCAGCAGGTTCAGTAAGATACTCCAGATGTCCCTCTCCCTGCTTCTTTGGAATGAATCAGAAGCCTTTCCAGGCCAGATGAGATATTTAATCTGTCCAGTGCGTTCTAGGACTGCAGGGTGTCTCCTACCAGATGCTCACGTGGGTTCTCTCCGGGTGCTCCGGCTTCCTCCCATTGTCCAAAGACATGCAGCTTAGGTTAATTGGCGAGTCTAAACTGCCCATAAGAGTGAATATGTGTGTGTGTGGTTGAAAAAGGTTTTTAGGTCGAAGATGTGTCACCTCTCATCCAAGAGGCTTCATCAATTCTGCCAGACTAGTGTTGAGTTTGAGATATTTATCGCCATTGGTGGTGGTTCAGTCCCGTGGTGCCCAACAATGTCCCCTAATGACTGAGTCGTTATAGCGCAGTATCGGTGAGTGTCGTTACTTGTCTTTGAATCCTCACTTATGGACCGATGCCTATTGTCCTGGTGGGCATGTTTTGGCAGAGATCTCAAAACAGGATCGTAGATGGAAGACAAGTTGTGTCTTAGTCCACCACCCCTATTTAATGAGGGGTGTTCTGTTTTTACAAAAATAGCTTCCTTAACTCCTCTCAAACCAGCGATGTTCTCTGGAGAGGATGTGGACTTCACTGTCCTCAAAAGAATGTCCTTTTGTCCTTCAGGTGGAGGTGGACTGCTGATTCTGGTCCACTGGAAGTCGTTACACTCCTGACTACACTTAATTGCATACACCACATCACTCTGTTTATGTCTGGGTGTTTTGTCCTTCAGGTGGAGCAGTCTCTGCCGCAGGGTGTTCCCTGTTTTAAAGTTAACTGTGTTAATGGGGGTTGTGAAAGATCCTTTTTAACTTCTCTGAAAACCCAGCCACATAAGGGATGACAGTGTTATCCCTTCTTGTTTCCGATTTCTCCCTGTTGGTGTTGGGTCTCTTCCTAGCTTTGGTGAAAGCCCACTTAGGGTATTGTTAGGTAATTTTTTAGTCAGATAGATATTGGTTAGATATTTGTTGTATTAGGTATGTTTAGTGGAGCCAGGGTAGCTAGCTCAGGCTGTTAAATGCTTAGTCATTCTCATGAGTTTTTGCAGGGTGCATATGGTCAAGGATAACTAAATAGAAAAAGTTTGCAGGCAGGAGGATATTGTTATTATTATTATGATATGTGTAACCGTAATGGTAATCATAATATTTTCTTATGTGTAATGTCATGACATGTCACTAAATGTCATGTCAGAATGTTCTTAGATACACACCACTAATCAACAGCCACACACATTGATTTTCTTCATGTTTTGACTACTGTTATGGTCAGCTGCAAAGCTGGCATATCAGGTGACGTCACGGTTTGACGTTCCTGTGTAGTATGAGCTAGCCCAACCAAGTGATAATATTGTATAGGCATTATGGTTCAGGGTCTTTCATACTTGATTCTGCCTGTGTGCAGGATTGGAGGTGGAAGAGATCTGGACGTGTAATGTTAATTTTACCTGTGATTCTTTGAATAAACCAGCACGGTTATTTTTTATATAATCCAAGTGGTCTGCTTCGTCTCTGGGAGTTCCTGGTTAAAAAGAGCCGGAAGACGCTTACAACAAAAATAGCTTTTAGTATCTACAAGTTTGATTGAAATATTCCAAATGAATCACACAGGACTTAACATACACAACTCTCTGTTAAGAATAAAAAGCACCAAGGATTTGTATTTATACTCTGTTAAAGGAACAAGGAGATATGGTAATCTTGTTTATTTCCCCAACCCTTAATTGTCTTCCAGGTCAAGAAAGAGATGGAGACTCTGACCAGAGAGAAAGGAGTGAATTCTTTCAAGATGTTCATGGCCTATAAAGACATGTTCATGCTGCAAGACTCTGAGCTTTATGCTGTGTTCTCCCAGTGTAAGGAGATTGGAGCTATAGCTCAGGTGCATGCTGAGAATGGAGACCTGATTGCAGAGGTTAGTATTAGCTAATATGCCATGTTTATGAAGTGTTTCCTCGCTTGGACTAGAGCAAACTGTGACCACAACAGTAACTGAAAATTCGGTATTAGTTGATAATAGCAATTCAGAATTTGCCTTTTGAAATAAGTGTTTCTGACAAATCTGAATGACTAGTCATGTTAGCTCAGGTGGTTCAAGGTCCACTGACATTGTTTGTTGTATTTTAGCAATAAAAGCAAATGTTTAGAAAGGCAACAAGATGAGACCTAGATCCAACAGAAGCTGTCACCCTGTCAAGTGTTTGTCTACTGCAGAAAACCTTTAACCTGCAGAATTTAGGATTGTCACAAGTGTAGACCTGTTTCATCACAGATACTGGGACATGTCCATGCCGCTGGCTGTGTTAAAGCACCAGTGTAATAAGTAACCCACTCAGTGCCTCATCATTAATGTTATTAGGCACACCTGTGCTTTGCCTGCTACAGTGTGACAGTTCAAATGTCTGCTGTGGTAAAGGCCTATTATTTCTCTTATGTGTTTGTATTTTCAGATACAACTTTCTTTAAATGTCATGGCAACATTTCACCACGAGGGGGCAGCAAATACTAGAAAAGAAGTTTGTGGCTCTTGTAGAGAGCACATTGAGTCCTGATTCTGGGAAATGTCTCCACGTCTAACAAACGCTTATATGGACTGTTAAGCCGTTTTAGACACTGCTTTAACTTGTTGCACATATTCTCACTGTTCTTTGCAACATTATTTAAGGGCACATTTATATTTTTAATTGATACTGAATTTCACTTGTGCTTCTTCTGTTGGTATACTGTATTTTAAGCACAACCATTGCAGACTCACTCTTTACCCATCCATCCCCTCAGGGCTTAGACAGCAAATGTTTTGTGTTATCCTTTCATCTCGGTTGACCTTTCTCCTGCCTTGTGGTTCCCCGTCCCCAACAGGGGGCTAGGAAGATGCTGTCTTTGGGCATTACGGGGCCTGAGGGCCATGCACTGTGTCGGCCAGAGGAGGTAGAGGCTGAGGCCACCCAGAGAGCCATCACCATCGCGCACTCTGTCAACTGCCCGCTGTATGTGGTCCACGTCATGAGCAAATCTGCTGCCAAGGTGGTGGCTAATGCACGCAGAGAGGGTGAGTGTGGGCTTGCTGCCATCTGCTGTTGAAATACAGCAGGGCAAGTTTGCCAGATGATGGCTTTGTGTGTGACACCGTTTTTTAGTTTGTATTAGCATTCTTCAACGTGGTCTTGTAAAGACCAGAGCCAGTATCAGTACTCATGTTTGTACAGAGTTTTCAGTGCCTTTTTATGTGGCATGGCTAAAAGTTAAATTATTCAGCATTTTGCCTCAATTTCAATCCTTGTCTTGGTAAAACATCATCTGAAACAGTACAAAAACAAATTCCTAACAACTAATGTTTCCCCTCTCTCTCTTTACAGGCCGTGTGGTGTTTGGGGAGCCCATTGCAGCCGCGCTGGGCACAGATGGTACCCACCTTTGGGACAAAGACTGGGCCCATGCTGCTGGCTTTGTCTTGAGTCCTCCCCTAAGACCTGATCCTAGCACCCCTGATTACCTTATGGACCTGCTGGCCAAGTACGAACTGAAAGTGTAGAAGAAGCCATAGTGATAACAAACCCAAACAAACATGACTTAATAGTGTTTTTTTTGTGTGTGTAGAATGTTGATAGAAGAAATGACACTGAAGCACAAATGTACGATACAATTAGAAAAGCAACATTTATTGCAGCATTGGTTTTCTCATTTAAAAATGTATTTTTCTCTCTAGTGATGATCTCAGTGTGACAGGGACGGACAACTGCACTTTCTGTGTGTGCCAGAAGGCCCTGGGCAAAGACGATTTCACCAAGATCCCTAACGGGGTGAATGGTGTGGAGGACAGGATGTCTGTGATCTGGGAGAAAGGAGTGGTATGTCCTAATGATAAAACTGCTCTTTATCAAATATTGCTCATTATGTGCTCTGTCATATCTGCTGTTAAGATCTGTTATACAGCTACATGTAATTACAGCTTGGAGTGAAGTAGCAGTTAGCTATCAAAGAAGGTACTAAATAACAACGCAACCACAAATTTATTTTTGATTTTCAACCTAAAAGTCCCTATTTGCATGTATCTTATGTCAGCGTGACACTTCTTATTGTGATGCTTATTCAAGGCTGATTACTCATTGTGTGCAGAGGCCTCATTTTGGAATAATATGAATCTCGTTAGATTATGTTGCCCTTTGTCACCGATTCTGTTCATTATTTTTATGGATAGAATTTCTAGGCACAGCCAGGGAATGGAGGGTGTCTGTTTTGGTGGCCGAAGAATCTCATCTCTGCTTTTTGCGGATGATGTGGTCCTATACTGGCTTCATCAGTTCAAGACCTACAGCGTGCACTGGAGGGGTTTGCAGCCAAGTTTGAAGCGGAGGGCATGAGGAAAAGACACTGAAGCACAAATGTACGATACAACTAGAAAAGTAACATTTATTGCAGCATTGGTTTTCTCATTTAAGTATCTTGGGGTCTTGTTCATGAGTGAGGGACAAATGGAGGTTGACAGACGGATGGGTGCGGCGTCCACAGTAATGTGGTCTCTGTACCGGTTCATTGTGGTGAAGAAGGAACTGAGCTTAGTAAGCTTTTTCCAGAAAAGAGAAGTTGAAACGCTCAATTTACCGGTTGATCTACGTTCCTACCTTCACCTATGGCCATGAACTTTGGATCATAACCGAAAGAATGAGATTGCGGACACAAGCAGTGGAAATTAGTTTCCCCCGGAGAATGGCCGGGGCACCCTTAGGGATAGGGTGCGGAGATCAGTCACCCGTGAGGAGCTTGGAGTAGGAGGAGCTCCTCCATGTTAAGAAGAATCAGTTGAGGTGGTTTGGGCACCTGTTTAGGATGCCCTCTGGACGCCTCCCTGGGGAGGTATTCCAGGCATGTCTCTCCGGGAGAAGGCCTCAGTGGGAGAAACTATGTCTCCTGGCTGGCCTGGGAATGCCTTGGGGTTTCTCCTGAGGAGCTAGAGGCGGTGTGTGGGGAGAGGGAAGTCTGGGAGGCTCTGTTCGGACTACTGTCCCCGTGACCCGGTCTCAGATGAAGCAGACAAAGATGGATGGATGAATTGTGCAGGGACAAATCAGTTAAAATCATAAAGCTTCTATGGGGCCCTCCTTTGCTGATATAAAGTCAAAAATATTTACACAGTAGTAAGCGGGGGCCCATGTACAATTTTACCTCCCTAGAGGGCCATGTACATGAAATTATATAAGTTTAATGTCAGGCTAAGGATGGATTTACCTTTTTTGAACACATGAAATGTAATTGGCCTACTGTTCTCATCCTTATTTTAGCACAAATACAAATATTTCGGGTTTCCTACAGTACAAACAGAAAAGGCAATAAACTCTTGGAGCTGCAAAGTGCCGACATTGCATTTTCTTGCAATTGTTGTGAGGACAGTGTTTTAGCCTGACCACCCCAAGGCCACTGGAAAGATTTACCACGTACAACAATGGTTACAAATCTCTCATTAGATAATATTCTGGCAGGAATGAGTTGCTTGTTGCACAGTTTGTGCACTGACCTTTTGTCCACCGTTTCTGTTCTTTGTTGTCATCCACCGTGGCCCCCTTATTGAAATCAGATGCTTTGTGTGTTTTTCTTCTTTCCCCTTAGCACAGCGGCAAAATGGACGAGAATCGATTTGTAGCTGTCACCAGCAGCAGCGCAGCAAAAATCTTCAACTTCTACCCGCAGAAAGGCTGTATTGCCAAGAACTCAGATGCTGACGTGGTAATATGGGACCCCAAGTTGACAAGGTGAGGACCCCAATTCAGGCCATTGGAGCAAATCGGGAGAAAGCTTTTGAAATACATCAGGGAAGGAAAGGTACTGGGAAATGTGTGTGTACAGTTTAAAACATAAAGGACGCTAATGCACATTCTGAATGGTCTACAGTTGTACCAGCACTATCAGCAGCTTCAGCTGCAGATGGTGCTGCTGAAACATTGGGCCAAACTTGAAAGCTTGTCTTCAGGGTGTCAAGCATTCAGTTAAATAAGATAAGGATTTAGCAGTAAAGCATGCAGGCTATAGATACAGGCAATTAAAAAGAGAAATGATACATCTTTCATCTTGTGCCACCTCAACACACACACACACATACTAACCCACCACGTAAGCTGATTACGTCTGTGCTCCATCCAGAAGTCAGGGTATGTCATCACTTATCTACAGCTGCAAATTAACACATAACACAATTTACATATGAATCACCCCCATCAGTCAGTTAAAAGACTGCTGGAAAGATGAAGTCTTTTCTATGTTTGGTTATTTGGGAGGGGGATTTTAGCACACTTACATAAGCACACAACATCAGTGAGACAATGCTGATGGGTCATGGTGAGGATCTTAAAGATGACAAATATTTCACATGGGATCTAAATCAATCTTTATAATACAGTGCACAGTATTGAGACTATTTTCAGTAGCAGGCTCAAAATATCCTAACTGAGCATGTCGTTTTCTTTCTTTGTGTTTTCTTATTATCCTAACAAAGTCCCAGATACAGAGTGGAGGACAGTGTGCAGCACTGTTGAGCACACGCACACACGCAGGCACGGGGGGCAGTTTGTATTCCAGTAGACTGTAGCGTCCTCAGACTTAACCTGGACTAGCACTGTACTGCTGTGCTTGCTGGAGAATCTGGATCCTTAGGGAATTCACTAACCTCTGATATGAACTGGAGAGGAACACATTACACACCAGTGAAATTTGTTTCAAGGTTCAGTGTGCAGCACTGTTGAGCACATGCACACACGCAGGCATGGGGGGCAGTTTGTATTCCAGTAGCTTGTCTACTGTAGCGTACTCAGACTTAGCCTGGACTAGCACTGTACTGCTGTGCTTGCTGGAGAATCTGGCTCCTTATGGAATTCACAAACCGCTGATATGAACTGGAGAGGAACACATTACACACCAGTGAAATTTGTTCTAATACATTCACAGGTAACACAGGAAAAGTTTGCTGCAGACTGAGACCTTGACTATTATTACTGTGGAGAGGAGCTAACAGCAATTTGATGCTCAGGCCTGTGTGTTTTGTCTTTACAGTGTGTGCATGTCTGTGGATGTTATAATGCCTTTCAAGCATGAGAGCACCTCATGTTTGATTTCTACTGCTGTGAATTCATCTGTGAAACTGCATAATTAATTACCCTCAGCACAAGTGTCACATCATCACATCCGGGACCAGGGGCTACAAAGAGTTGCATAACTAGGAACACCTAGCAAGCTTAGTCAGCTGCCTTGTGGTCTACTTGAATAATGAAGACACATCTTGTTTTTGTCAGTGCACACTACACATGGTGCCTGCTTTTACAAATCAGCGTATGTGAATGGATGAAAACACATGGTGCCTGCTTTTACAAATCAGCTTATGTGAATGGAGGCCACAAAAAAAGTCAATGTTTCATGATTTCATGGAACTGGGTGAGTCAGACTCATTTCACTGTTTCCTTTTTATTCAGTTTTTCAGTCAGATGTGATTTATTTGTGAGACAGCAGAGAATTTGATTATTTGGTTATGAAGTGTTGTAATGGCCTTTTCTCTAAAACATTTCTAAATATTTGCAGAAAGCTTCTCTAATAGGACTGTGCTTCAAGCTGCTTTAATGGTGATTTGAAGTGGTATCACTTGAGTTGAAGTCCCCTTATTTACAATTTAGAAGCAGAACATAAACAATTAATGTAAAAATAGGTCTTCATAGGGAAAGTTATTTTTTGTCAGATAGTGTCCATGAGTAAACACTAAACATATCCTTATAGCTGGGTCCTATTACATTATAGTGAGTTATAAACCATTTATTAAAAGCTTTAAATATTAAATAAGGGCTCTGTTCCCTTCATTTCTACAGTATAGCATGTTTTAGCATTTTCATCTGTCACGCACGAAACCTCAGACACAGAATTAGTGACAGCTAGAAAACACTGTTCAGTATTTAGCAGCTAAATTCAAATTCAGATTTATTAGTATAGCACCAAATCACAACAAATGTCATCTCAGGACACTTTACAAAGTAAGGTCTAGACCTTACTATTATCATTATTATTATATTTAGTTATATCATGGGGTCCCCAGCAGCCTAGGCCTATAGCAGCAATGTCCAAACTCTCAAGGTGAGACTGCAGCTGCGTAAGAACCACTTTTTCCATTACTTTAGCTCAAAAAGGCAGTAATGAAATAGGCCAAAAGTTAGCCGGATCAGCTGGATCGAGATTTGTCTGTGGTCTTATTAAAGAGACGGTGTTTTTAGTATCCTGGGCAATTTAATTGAGTTCACCCACGACATTATCGGCAACTTCATGCTCCGATCCCTAACAGAGAGGAGAGCGGAGGAGAGGGAAGGAGAGGAGGACAGAGGAAGACAGGAGAGAAACATAGAGCATCATGCCCCCCCCATGCCTATAGCAGCATAAATCAAATCAAATTTTATTTGTATAGCGCCAAATCACATGTCATTTCAGGACACTTTATAAAGTAAGGTCTAGACCTTACTGTTATCACTATTATTACAGAGGGAAAATCCAACAAATCCCCCTTGAGCAAGCACTTGGTGACAGTGGGGAGGAAAAACTCCCTTTAACGGAAGAAACCTCCGACAGACCCCGGCTCTTGGTGGGCGGCCTTCTGCCTCGACCAGTTGGGGTGAGTGGATAGAGGAGAGACAAAAGAAGAAAAGCAACAAGACACAACAATCAAACACTGATCAGGTCGATGTGGCTGGTGACTGCTCGTCAGAGAC